GAGAGAGAGAGAGAGAGAGAGAGAGAGAGAGAGAGAGAGAGAGAGAGAGAGAGAAAGGGCGCGTGGAGAGGGGTCAGATGAACACCTGACCGGATAAGGGCGTACTCAAACTAGCAGTCTCTCAAATGTATCTGACCGCATTCACGGTAATAGCTGGATGTATTTGGCCGCAATTCCGTCCAAAATACGAAAACAAGTCGTAGTGTGAGTATGCCCGAAGGAGCTCTTCTGTTAGTGAGGATTTTCTTTTTTTTTTCCTTTTTTTTTTGACTTTGGACCATTTCTCGATTTATCCGTGTCATCCTTTGCGCAGGGGACATAGTGAGGAATTTTGATTCACATGTGGGCGCACTTAAACTTGCTCTATCGTAGATGGATGTAGCCGTGTTCACGGGCGCACGGGGATGTATATGCCTGCAATTACGTCCATTAATCGGTAATTAACGCCTAGTTTGAGTACGCCGTGAGAAGACCCAAAAAAGCGCCGATTGTTGCTCGTCAACGGGGAAACGAAAAAAGAGAACAGGGCCGTTATAGGCCTGTTTTTTCCTCTCAGTTTAGAGCAGTAGGTTCCTACTCTCCCACCCCCTTCCCCTTCTCAGCCATTCGTCTCATTGTTTTTCTCCCTACCTCCTTGTCTCCCTCCGCTCTCTCAGTTTAGGTTCTTAATCCAAATCTTCTTCGACCCTCATCTCTTTCCCCAAGTCTTTCCCCCTACTCCCTTCTACCAGTTCCATCGGGTCCACTGGTCCCGTCAAAAGCGAAACTGGGTAATGCTCCCAGCACCGGCTATATTGTGGGGAGCCGGCCCCATTTTCTCCAATGTGCAATGAAAATGTAAAAAAAAAAAAAAAAAAAAAAAGAGAACAGTGGTAATTCACAGCCGATGTAGCTCGGGTTTAGGGGGCTCCACTCCTCATTGAAGGACAAAATCGGGCGCGCATATGTACGCAGAAAGTGTCAAGACACATCATACATCTGCTACTATTTATACTATCCCATGCATCTTTACTCCATCGGTGTGAAGATGCACTCTCCTTTCTTTTTTTTCCTTTTTTTTTTGTGCGCTGGCCGGCAAAAAAATGACAAGTGTGCTCGGAGAAAAATAAAATAAAAAAATAAAAAAAATAAAAGGGGTCAACTGTCCATCCGCCGAGGAGCCACTCGCTGTGCTGTGCTGTCTGACGGTCACACAGTACATTCCCACAGGATGAAAGCTTGGCATGTGTCCTTGGGGACATCTGTTAAAATTGGAAGGGTAATTAGCATGGCCCTTGCGCAAGGATGACACGGATAAACGGGGACCGGCGATGGTCCAAATTTAGAAAATAGAAAAAAAAAACAAAAAAGGATTGGCATGTATCTGACAGTACTCGTGCGGGAACCGGCGACGAATCTCAAGAGTTCATCACCGCTGCAGTGCCGGAATTTGGCGGGGAAAAGTCATAAAACCTTCCCTCGGTCAACCTTTGTATCCATTTCCCCCACAAACGGGGAAAAAGTTGCCGCCAACCCCAAAATCACTTTCGGCGTTATTTTTGCACCCTGCAAAATACTTTCCCGCCAGGACCTGCGGCACTTTTTTTTTTTCTTCTTGTTTGGGGGGAGGGAAATGGATACAAAGAAAAGAAAAAAAAGAAAAAGAAAAAAAAAGATAAGGTATTGTCGCGGGGAGGTTTTATGACTTTTGTCACTTTTCCCAATTTGGCGCGCTGTGACCATCATGGTTGCCTTACGTGGAGCGCTTCCGTGCAGCAGCATCTGTTCCAGGCCAGCATCAGGGCAAACACTCAGGGCATATGACCGGAGTTGTCCTATGTTCGCTTTGGACACTCCCAACGCCCTGTGCTGAGCTGACGGTCACATAGGATAATCCCACATGAGGACTCCCTGCCACGTTTCTTTTGGCCCTTCCGATTGGTCCCAGGCTTTGAGAGGGAAGAGGTGTCCGAATTTGGGGCTCCCCACACGTGCAGAATCGACGCTTTAGAGACGTGCAGAATAGATGCCGTGTCTTCGCCACACAGCCTTTCAAAACAAGGGGCCTCGCTGCACTACTCTAGACTCTCAAGAGGCTAGCGTTGTCAGAGAGGCGAGACTCTCGAAATACCCACCTTCGCTGCACTTAGGGTCTCGCTCCACTACTGTCCACTGTACAATTTTTTGGACATTTCTTGGACAGTTGTCAGAGCGAAAAATTGTACAGCGGACAGTGGAAAATGCGACATGGCTCCACTTACTGTCCGCTGTCCACCTCTCAAATTCGTGAGTTCACTACGGACGCAGTGATAAAACTACAAGACAGGGCGTCCAAAGGATTTTGTCTGCCCGGACGCTATGTGCACTCTCCAAATTCGGGTCCTCACGGTGAGTCCCTTGAAGGACTTTCCACTAAACGAATTTTGCAGGCTGGGAGCTGTACATTCACGGACAGTAGATTTCCGACAGGGTTTCTCCAAACTGTCCAAGCCATTTTGCACATGTACAGTGGACAGTACGTGGAGCGAAGTACCACTGTCCGTTTTTGTACAGTGGACAGTAGTGGAGCGAGACCCTTACTCTATAACCTATTACACTAGGTGAACTCTCAAAACCCTGGGCGCCGTCCTACTCTACAGAACAGCTGCACCACTGCGCTACGGGACAACGTCTGCCCGCGGGGACAGGAGGTCCACTCTCGAAAAACGAGCCGTCGGAGGGCAACTCCCAAGGACACTTGCAAATTCAGTTTTTGCAGGCGGGGGACTCTCGACGTTTCGAGAGTTGAGTTATAGTGTGGCTTCTGACAGCTCTCGATCGGGTTTTGACAGTTTCCCGATCGAGAGTAAGTGCAGCGATGACCCACTCTCAAAAATTCGAGAGTCTAGAGTAGTGCAGCGAGGCCCAAGTTCTTGCGAAAAAGTTTCAAAGGGTGTTAGATTGGCCGGCATCAAGAGTCATTTCAAAAAGATGAGATCGGGCCTGGCTGCACTACTCTCTACATGCACAAAAGACAAACATCATGGCTGTGAATCTTTCCATATTCTACCTGAAGATTCACTCTCGTTTTGCACATTTCGAGAGTAGTTCCATATTCTAGCGGAAAGATTCACTCTCATTTTGCACATTTCGAGAGTAGTGCAGGGAGGCCCTCCCGCCTGTCACAAGCGTTTCTTTTTTTTTTTTTTTTTTTTTTTTTTTTTAAGAGAAGTCAAGTCTTTTTATTTCAGAAGAGGAACAGGGGCCCGGGAAAACACCCCACAAATCAACCCAGTACAGAAACATGCTCGGGCCCTTACCCAGCTGTAGGCTCTTGGGAACCATGTCCACTGTCCCTCTACTAAACTGTTCTCTAAAAAATTAAAGAAAAAGAAGCATCTGAGAGGCAGATCTTCAAACTTACTCTTTTGAACCTTGTGAACGTCTTATGTTGTAGCCACCACAGCCACCTTGGCCTATACCATTTCTAGTTGTCCCTTTCAAGGTGGAGAGCTAAAGCGCTCTCCATGCCCTGTTGGGGAGAGTAGCCAGGGCGAGAAGCATAGCCTGTTTTTTGCAGTTAACTTCACTAATCTGGACTCTCTCCCCCACGTGTCCCAAAACCACTTTCTGTGATCTGCAGCGTTACCTTTACCCACCCTTCGAAACCAGTCACTACTAATATTTAACCGAATCTGTTGAGCGACCTTATTCTTAATTACATGATCCGAGATATACTTACTTTTGAACAACTGATCATTTCTATCGTCCCATATTACCTTCATGATAATTGCCCTTACTGGCTGAGCTACATATAGCCACTCTCCTGCTTTCGAGTCTGTTATATCATGAGTACCGTTTCGTATCCATTCGTCTTACCAAACAAAGTTCTTGTTTGAGATTTTGTCCCAATGTCTTATCCACCAGTCCCAGATCCTCCTCGAAGCCGGGCAGGTCAACCACAGGTGCCTGTCATCTTCCCACATCTATTTGCAGCGAATGCAGCTGGCTGAAATGTCCATTCCCTGTCAAGCTAAGCGTGCTGCTGATGCTGTGGCCACCAACAGTTGCAGCCATAGAATGCTTGATAGTCGTTATGAAGGTAGCTTCTTGAGCTGTTTCCACAGAGAGGACAGTTGCCCTGCTTGTAGCATCAATAAGCGTTGATCTTTTCTTCGTTGCTCCACTACTGCTGTCGGCGATTTCCGTACTTTGTGCCTGAGAATTCTTGCGCCTTCCTTCGTAGAATATTCATCCAAGGATAACAATTTTTGCTTCTGACTTTGCCACCAACCCACCGTTATGCAGTCCATTGCTGCTTTCTCAACGGGGACCCATCCCATGGGGAGAGAGGCCACTGTGATTAGGGACCCACCTGCCGGGGCCCTCTGTGTTTTCGTTCTGGCCACCACTTATGAGAAACCCTGCAAAGAGGGGACAAAAACATTTTCCCTTTTTACCAATGTCTTCCCATATGAGAAATCCACCGGTTCAATCCATTCTGTTGCTGTCCGACCCTCCTCTCCCAGATGTGAAGAACTGGTCCCTGCTTGGAAGCGGGATTTAACCAGAGTCCCCCGGTGGGGATTCTCAGACTTGTGAGAAGACTTACCCACCCTGGCGGAATAGCTTTTTGAATTGCCTTTAGCCTCTTGGTCATGAATCTGCGTCTGCTTAGTTTCTCCTTTATCTCAGACTAGTTTGTCCAGTTGTTATTTTCAGTATCTCAGATATCCTTCACACTAAGTCTCTAACCACTCCTCTTTCTGCCCAAACTTTCCCAAAATTCCCTGCGGAATCATGAGCTGAAAAAACTCCGGTTTCATCTACTATATGAGGGTTTTCAAACAAAATCTGATTTAGCACAGTTTCCTTTGAGTCAGGCTTTTCTCTTTCTGATGGAAACAACTTTTGTCAGGCAGTAAAGACATTGTTCCAGAAGATCGAGGTAACCTTCCTACTCACAAAGGATCTTATCAGCAAACAGGCCTGCACGTCCTCAGGACGACTCAAGTTTTTTGTGATAGAATATATGTAGCTAGTATCACCCACGTTGTCTTGCCATCGTCCAACAGTAATTTTATTGGTCATTTTGCCAATAGTGTTATGTTCTGTTGTTTGGGGTCTAGCAATCCTAACCGCCCCTCTTCTTTAGGAAAGGAGAGAGTCTCCCAGGCCACCTCCGAGAGAAAATTTTGATTCTCTCCCGCTACCGGTTTCCATAGCAGTTTGGCTGTTGCTTGCTTGATGGCTTTATAAGCTTTGTCTCCCAGCAAGTGAGTAGCCAACACAAACCCCAACACACCAAAACCTGCAGCTTGGATCACCAGCGCCCTTCCTATCAAGGACAAATGTCTCTTGTGGCTCCAACTTGAAAGCCTGCTCACAAACTTTTCCACCAACATCGAATCCCGAAATTCCGCATTATTAGTTAAGGAAACTTGTACCCCAATGAACCGTTCTGACGCATCTGCCGGGACTTGCTTCAATCCCCAATTTACCTCTAATTCCTAATCTTTTGGTAAGAAATAGGTGGATTTGTTCCAATTGATTGAGGCCTCAGACAGTTCGCAGTAAGCGTTCAGTATTTTCCTAACTGCTTTCAGAGAAGGTCTGTTATTGGCGCATGCTAAGGGCAGATCATCTGCTAAGGCCCTCCCTTTCCATTGAATGTAGTTGCGCAATTCCAGTCCCCCGATTCGATCATTGCATCTTATGTTATCCAATAACACTTCCATGTGGATAACCAAGAGCAGGGGGGTTAGTGGCCATCCCTGTATCAATAAGCGTGGCCATCCCTGTATCAATAAGCGTGAGAGAGAGAACTTACGTGATTTATATCCATTAACCATAACTGACGCTGTTGCCGACGAGTACATAGTGGTCACCCACTAAGCAAACATGGATCCAAAGCCCATGTGTTTTAGTGTAGTCATTACGAAGGCTCATCCCACTTTGACGTAGGCCTTCTCCATATCGAGGAGAAGGACTGCGACATTCTGGTTCTTTGTTGCAATGACCTCGAGAGCTTGCATCGTCGTCATTCTGTTATCCATAATGGACCTGTGCTTTACAAAAGCACCCTGCTCCATTCGTATCAGGTCTCGGAGGTATCTTGCCAGCCTTATTGCTAAGGTTTTGGCAAGAATCTTATAGGAGACATTCAAGAGTGAAATGGAACGCTTGTTCCTAATTTTAGTCTTGTCCCCCTTTTTATATAATAGTGAGATAATTTTATTCATCATTCCTTTGGTGAGTTTCTCTCCCTCTAGTACCCCGTTATAGCATTTGACCAGGTAAGAACTGAAACTAGGTCATACTGCTAAATATACTTCAATTGGTAACCCGTCATCCCCAGGGCATTTGCCCTTAGCCATCTGTTTGGCAGCATGTAACAACTTCTCTAATGTGACCGATCTATCCAGATCCAGTTTGCTTTAGTAGGGACTCTTACCTGAGTGAGATCCCAAGACTGTGAGCTCTCTCTCAGATCGGTGGCCATACTGCCATAAGGTCTTCTAGTTGATAGTATATCCTGGAAGTACAGCCTAGCATATTCACACATTAGTTGAGCATTATCTGTTATGGTCTGCTGGACTGAAAAGGGGTGGGCCAATTGATTCATAGGCGGTTTGGTTTGCTGTAAGATGAGCCTTCGGAATGTATCTTTAGTCATCTGATCTCCAGCGATTAAGTTGCGATGGGCTAACCATTCAATCTATTGCTCTTGGTTCTTTACTTCAATTTTCTCCAGCAGTTGAATTTTGCGTCGGCGTTTGGCTGACCAATACGCATCCGAAATTGGATGTTTACCCAGTTCGGCTTCTTATTTTTGAATCTTTGCTATTAAATCAGATTCTTTCTTTCTCTCGTCAATTGCTTTTATTGTGGATATGTTACTTAGGGACTCCTGCAGAATCCTGAATCCAACTTCCAGCCACTGATCTTCTTTTTCGAATAGTGGTCTTGCCTGCGACAATTGATCAAAGTGGTTTGTTATCCAATCCACTACCGTTTCATCTTGTAAATGTTTAGTGTTAAATTTGAAGTATGAGGGGTCAAATCTTGTCTGAGAAAAGGTGCATTCTCCCAACACCAGGTGGTGATCCGAAAGGTAGTATGTCTCCAGATCCATTTTCGTGCAGTTGTTTCAAGGGTTCCCCCTCATCAACATAAAATCTAGTCTTTTGCGCACTGGGGGGGATTTCGACCCAAACCATTTGTAGCCATGACTATCCGGATGCATCGTACGGTAGACATATCTCAAATTTTGTGATACCATAAAAGCTCGAAGAACCCTTGCATCTGTTTTGATCGGAGCTACTCGAAACGGTCGATTACCAAAAAAAAAGGAAAAAAAAAGGAAAAAAAAACACGTTATTATTCAACAATTGAGGCAAGGTCGGGGACCTCACAATTCAACCCGGGATTATATGGGCAGCATCAGCCGGTTTAGCTTGTCACAGCCCTAGTGGCTTGCTTAATCCTACCAGATGGGGAAAAGACTACCGTTGTTAACCACACTGATTTGAATCTGGCACCTTCAGCCAGTTTCACATTTTACGGGACTGCAGAAATCAAAAGGGTACTGGAAGAGTACGCCTGCTTACTCATTCTTCACTTAAATATCTCACAAAACACAGAAAGCCGGCCTAGAGGCCATGTTTCCCACTTGAATCCGGTGTTCCTACATCCTAAGCTAGCCAACTAGCCTCAAAGATGTTGAAGTCTTATCGAAATGAACTCTGCATTGTTTCCTCCATTCTGGTGCCGCAGCGCTTGCACTAGGTCTGCAACTCCATTCCTCTCTCAAAGAGCCAGACTAAGCTAGGTACCGCCCCGTGCGAGAGGAGCCAAAGCAGACCTGCGAGCTTTTGCGATGGCAAGGCTGGGAGCTGGTTCCATAGCACGCAAAGTTCTCTTCCCCTGATGGTGTTGTCGCTTGTGGTCTGCCTGTTGAGGAGATCCGCTACCCTGCCTGGGATACTCCGACCGTCGCAAAGCAGACAGCGTCTGAAACTTGATATGTATTGGAAAAGGTGTTTCCTCTGACCTGGAGTCGATTCCCAGAAGCTCCCCAACGGATCTATCCTTAGCGCTTTTAGAGGTGCTCCTGCCTGGATCAGTGTGTGGGTGGTGTAACCTACTACCGTAGTTGTATGAACACGAATTTGTTGTAGTCCATGCTATATATGAAGCGCCACCTCACCCTGCAGCAGGAGGTCATGGTTACTAGCAAGATCAGGAGCTCGTTGCCACTAATGCGCTCACCACCGTTCTTCGTCCAACTGTTCCATGTGCATGGGTACCGGGGCCTGATCATTGTTGTTAACGTACTAGTCGCCCTCTACCCGATTGTCTGAGGTAAGAAGCTCCTGCCAGTGCAATGGGATGGCTTGGATTAACTGTTGTCGCCAATCGCTCACATTTAGGAATCTGTGCAGCTTTTGCCTTAGGGCGGCCTCTGAAGCCCAGAGGTGCTGCTCCTCGTTCCAGAGATCA